TTTTCTACTATTATTCATTGAAAAATTTGAACTATATTATAGCCACCACACCCAGCCTGGCCTAAGAGAATTTTTCAAAATGACAAATTTATATTAGTGGTTTTCAAATGGGTTTACATAGCAGAGGAGTTAGCATGAAGAAACAGCCATATACTACTGGTGGATATGTAAAGAAGAGAACCATTCTGAAAAGCAATATGGCAGGAAAAATACCCCACAAGATGATGTTAATTTCAGCACCTTTTACAACAGCAAAACCCCCAGGAAAACAGCCTAAGGATATGGTTAGATTATGATCTATGCAGACATTAATAAGGTTGTAAAATAAAAAAATTATGACCAAGAGACAGGGATGTTCACTGCATTGTTTAAAAAAAACAAAAAACACCTCAGCAGCACAGCAGGATACTGTGTCTATAAAAAAAAAAAAAATAGAATTTGAGGCTGCAGTAAGCTCTGATTGTGCCACTGCACCCAGCCTGGGAAAGTAAATGAGACTCTACTCAAAAAATTCCCTAAACCAAACCGACAAACTAGTACACACAATATTAGCAAGTTTGGAAAAAAAGAATTAAACATTCTGGTAGATTATACACCAGAATGTCAGATGGCAGGATAGGCATATTAAACTTGTATTTTCTTTTTGCTTATTGATATCTGCTATTTTTTGGCTTACCTGTTATCTTTCTTCGACTAAGACATATCTTAAACAAGAAAAAAAAAACTCCAATTAGTTGCTATGCAACCAATTAGTATACCAGATTAAGCTCAAAATTACATCATAGCAGAACCAACAATAGAGATGGGGGGATGTTGAACAAAAAAGGAAGATGTATGCTAAAGAAAATCTAAATCCCCTTCCTCAATAAACTGGGACTTAGGATATACTACTCTTAAATGCTACAGTAAAGCATATATAACACAGTAGTGTTTCACAGGGACATAGATGAACCACATGCAAGGTACTGCCTGGCTTTCTAACTTTGAATGAAAAACTCCAAACAGTTAATATAAAGGCTGTCCCCAGATGCATGGTTAGTACGGCGCTCACAACAGGGCAACATGTTTAATTAGTATTATGGAAGGATGAGAACCTCATAAGGAAAAACAGGTTTTCTTTTCCACTTTAAAAATACAACTAAATTTGGATTATATTTCACAACCACATGCCAGTGACTTCTCGTCTTACTGACAAAAACCTCCATTTATTATGGTGTATACTATGTGTCCTAGCACTGTACAATTTATCCCCAGCTGAAATGACAATATTTAATATATATCCTATCCTTAGAAATATTTTATATCCTTGCCTACAAATACTTTTAAATGGCAACCTCCATTCTTTACAAAGACTATTTTAAGGCTCGGCGCCTGTGGCTCAAGCAGCTAAGGCGCCAGCCACATACACCTAAGGTGG